CAAAGCTAAAATGGTCAGAACTACAGCTAAAGGCTAAAAGGATCAGAATAAAGACTAAAAGCTAAAATGTTTAGAACCACAGCTAAAGGCTGAAAAATGCAAAAGAAAGACTAAAAGCTAAAATGGACAAAACAACAGCTGAAGGACAAAAGTATCTGCATTGGACTCCTGGCAGGGACCAACGCAGACATGTTCCTGTTTTTAGTTTTCTACATTCGCCTTGGAATCTAGCTGTTTTTTGTTACCTTTTTCCTTTTAGCCATCCTATTTGTTTAAAAAAAAAAAAAAAAAAAACTGTAGTATGACTTTTTATAACTGTTTATTGTTGTTGCTGTTGTCCATTGTTGTCATCTTTCTTTGTTGAAATCAGGTCTCTCTTGTAAATGAGTCCTCGAGGCTCAATGGGATTTACCTGTAGAAATAAAGGTTGATAGATCTAAACAATGTCTAAATGTTAAAATGGTCAGAACCACAGCTAAAGGCTGAAAGAAGCAAAACAAAGACTAAAAGCTAAAATGGGCAAAACAACAGCTGAAGGACAAAAGTATCTAAACAATGTCTAAATGTTAAAATGGTCAGAACCACAGCTAAAGGCTGAAAGAAGCACAACAAAGACTAAAAGCTAAAATGGGCAAAACCAAAGCTAAAGGCTAAAAATAGCTAAGCAAAGTCTAAAAGCCAAAATGGTCAGAACCACAGCTAAAGGCTAAGGCTAGTTGCAAAACAAAGACTATAAGCAAAAATAGACAGAACCAAAGCTAAAGGTTAAAAGTAGCTAAACAAAGACTAAAAGCTAAAATTAGCAGAACGGTAGATAAAAGTAGCACAAGAAGACAACAGAGCCAGTGTGCTGAAGTAGATCACGCAGCTAAAACCGATTTTGCTTTAGATGAATTTTCAATATTAAAAATGTTTTTAAAGGTATGAACTTTTCTTGGATTGGGATCAACACCTCAGTCTGAAGTCATGGTCCTCAGTCAGAGGGTGGACTGTCCTCTCTGGGTCCAGGGTGAGGTTCTGCCTAAAGAGTTCAAGGACAGTTGTCCCTCGTTTATTGTGGGGGTTACGTCCCCCCCAGGCAATAAGTGAAAAACCGTAATGTAGAAATGACAGATTCTGAGTTGAAACAACATCAGAGCACTTTATTCAGCTGATAAATTTAAATCAACTAAACTAAGGCAAGAGTTTATTAATCAAGATAACTTGATAATGTTTATTCACTCAACTTAAATTTTACGTTGAGTGAGTAGTAATGACTTTTTACTCACCAGTTCTACAGAACACAGCAGCTCGGTCCCGGTCTGGCTCAGTTCTGGTTCGGCAGACCTACCCAGCCTTGGTCCGGTTCTGAGCTGCTTTTTGCATCCACTGAACGCCAACGTCACTATGAATACTGTAAGGACCGAACTTTTTCCAATCGGAGCTAAACTTTCCCTCCAGAAGAAAGCAACTTTGCCTTCTGGGTAATGTAGTCCTTTAGATACAGTATAAGCTTATTGAGAGAAAACTACAAAATGGCGGCACTCTTTTTGTTTGTCATGTACAATCTTACAGTACTGTACTGTGAAAAACACGAAGAGCGAGTCCACAAAAGTCGAACTGCGAAGTAGCGAGGGACTGTATCTCGGGAAGAATGGAGCTTGAGATCTACAGATGGACCGGGGCATCTGCCTCAGTATTGTGGACTCTGAGCTGGTTTGTTGTGGTGAAGAGGGACCTGAGCTGTAAGGAGAAGCTATCTGTTTATCGGTCGGTCTACATTCCTACCCTCACCTACGCTCCTGAACTCTGGGTAGAGACAGAAAAAAAACAGATCCTGGATCCTGGATTCTCCCTTAGAGATCAGGTGAGAAGTTCAGTTATCCAGGAGAGACGCGGAGTACAGCCGCTGCTCCTCCACATCCAGAGGAGACAGTTGTGGTGGTTTGGGTCTCTTGTAAGGATGGACCCTAGATGTTGGGAGGCAGGTTTGACTGGGAGGAAACCCTGGAAAGACCCCCGACATATCGGAGAGACTATAGGCTCTCTCTCGAGATGCCTCAGTCCCAGTCTAAGACGTATTCTGGTTGTCTCAGTCCATTCAGAAGACACACCAACACAGCAAGGGAGGATCAAAGATGGCCCGCTTCTGATGCGCCTCAGTGCTGCTGAGCGAGGTAGAAACCGCGCTGTGACCGGTCAGTGTGAAAAAGAAAGCCGTGTTGCTGCAGCTCAGTAATGTGATGAAGTGATGACACCGGCGTGTGACGGCCGCTCGCTTGATTACACAATACTGATGATGCACAGCAGCTGTGGACGTAGTTAAAAAACAGTTACCCACAAAGAGGATTGATGAAGTGAGTTATTTAATCATGTTTTGCAATTGACACAAGTCTAACACACATTTAATGTGTTGCGCTCTACAACAACCCAGCTGAGTTCTGCTCCATGCCTCTTTTGGTTCTGCACTGCCGCTTCGTTTCTGAAAACTTGTCTGAGTGGAAAGTGGCCGACTTCATCTGGGACTTATGAACGGCCGGGGGAGAATAAAGACGGACTGGTCTGTGAGGCCATTTCCAGGAACTGTTTTATGAAAGAGCTTTAAGTTTCAACTGGCTTCAGAACACCTTGAAGTCTTCAAAATCTAATTTATCCAAACATTTACCTCCATCAGCGATAGTGAGGTGACTTTTGGTTTTTGTAACTTCAAAATATTTAATTTTATTTACTTTAAAAATCCACTGAGATCTCTTAACAACCAAACAATGCTGTCTTTGAAAGCTGCTTCAGTCCTGGCCTTCCTTAAAGGAATGCCAATGGGGGTGTCTCGAACCCTTCTCAGTTTTGTGTTTGCAAGTTAGAAAGAAGGAAATGTGAGTTGTTTAGGGCGACTGTGGCTCAGTGGTTAGAGCAGTCGTCCTCCAATGCAGGAGTTGGGGGTTCGAATCCACCAGCAGTCACATGTCGAAGTGTCCCTGGGCAAGACATTGAACCCCTCATAGCCTCTGATATGTGTCCCATCGGTGTAAGAATGTGACCTAAAGCACTGACTAGTTTCTTTAGAATGATTTGATCAATTAGCTTTGTAGAGATCTAGTATAGACCTGTATGAATGGGTACACGAGGCACAGATTGTTGTGTAAAGCGCTTTGAGTATCTTGATAAGATAGAAAGGCGCTGTATAAGTACATTCCATTTACCATTTAGCGAGGGTTTATCCATCTATCCATTATCTTGACCTGCTTTTTCCTTTCCGGGCCACAGAGGTCATTGACGCCTATATCCAACAGTCACCGTGTGAGAGGCAGGGTACACCCTGGACAGGTCTCCAGTTTATCACAGGGACACAAAGAGGACAACTACTGAGACAATCAACCATTCAAACTCTCACTTGTACCTAGGGACAATTTAAAGTTACCATCTAACAATCGTGCTTTTGGTCTGTGGGAGGAAACCGAAGTACCTGGCACATGTCAAGATCAAGTGCGTGCATGCACAGAAAGAATATGCAAACTCCACCCAGAAAGGCACTCAGCTGAGATTTGATCTGGCAACCGTCTTGCGTAGAGGCAACAGTTCTACCAACTGTGCTTTCCCAGGCCAGAGGAGATACATAATCCCTCCAGAGAGTCCTAGGTCTGCCCCAGGCCTCTTCCCTGTGGGATGTGCCCAAGTACGTATAAAGGGAGCATTCAGATGGCATCCTAATCAGATGCCTGAACCACCTCTACTGACTACTTTCTATGCAGCAGCTTTACTCCAGGAACCCCCCTAATGACGGAGATCCTGAATCTGTTTCTAAGGCTGAGCCTGGCCACCATACGAAGGAAGCTCATTTCAGCTGCTTGGATCAAGGATCTTATTCTTTTAATCCTGATCTGAACTTCTTGACCACAGATGAGGGTTGGAACATAGACAGACCAGTAAATCCAGAGCTTTTCCTGACGACTCAAGTCTTTCTTCACCATGACCAACTGAAGTAACGCCCTCGTTACTGAGGAAGAGACCATGATCCTTGGATCCATCTACCACTCCATCCTACCATCGCTCAGAAAATAGACACCCAGACTAAACTCCTCAATATAAAGCATAGAGCATCTAGAGTTTTTTTTTTTTTTACCATTTCCAGTTAAGAACCATGACCAAAAAAACTGACTCTAATCCCAGCTTCTTCACACTCTGCTGCATACTGCCCCAGTGCACGCTGACGATCAAGGCTCCAAGATGACAACTACATCAACCGCATAAAGCAGAGATCCTGAGATTTCCAAGCCAGACACCTTCCTATCCATGACTGCACCTTCAGATCCTGTCTGTGAACACCACAGGCAGCATTGGAGACAAGGGGCAGTCCTGGTGGAGTCCAACCTGAACTGAAAACTACCTTGATCTTGACTGTGCAGAGAATGCAGACACAGCTCCTGCTTTGGTTCTTCAAGGACCGGATAGCCCTTAAAAGCAACACAGGCACCCCATACCGACGCAGTACCCCCCCCCCCCCACACACACACACACACACACTCACACGCACACAGAATGCCTCAAGGAACATGGTCCTAAGCCTTCTCCAGGTGCAAAAAGCACATGGAGACTGGAGAGGCAAACTCCCATGACCCCCTCAGCAAGGGTGACGCCCTGGTCCACTGGTCCACAATGAGGACAGAAACCACACTGCTCCTCACCAAAGTTCATGCTCAATAATCCAGGTATAAAATCCAACAATGTTCAGTCAGGTCATCTGGACAGTTTCAAACGAATCGTCTCAGCACAAAAAAGAAACCATCCAGATGACCTGACTGCACACTGCTCCTCCTGAATCCAGGGTTTAGCATCAGGTCGAAGCCTCCCTTCCAACACCCTGGAGTAAAATAATATTTTTCTAAAACTCTATATCCATATTGAATATTGTAATTTAACTGGATGATGATTAAGATTAAGAAATAAATCTTAGTTTAACTTTTATCAGTAGAAACGGAACTGATGTACCGGATGAATGACCCGTGTTCTGCTCTTATTCACAGAGCTGCACGTGGCGACCTCACAGCGCTAACTGCTTGCTGAGCAAACGTGTGCGTATGTGTTTGTGCGTGTGAGAGGTCATGTCGAGCATGACGAGTGGTGTGTGTGTGGAGAGTGACCTCTCCTCGATGCTCCAGAGAAGCTCCGCCCCCTCTCACCACCACCCTAATCACCATGGTTATGGGGGACAGGGACAGGTAATGCCGCAGCAATCTGGATTTTTATCAAAGCACACATCAGTAAATTATTCCGATTGGTGTTTTTTTATCAATCGTGATGGTCTTTGTTGCAGGTAGCGGGTCTGGCGCCGATGCTCGACTACACCACTGAGATGGACCGGTACCGTTCGTCCATCGCCAGCTTCTACAAGACCAACGTCAACATGAACATGAACGTTACAAACTTCCCACAGTCAGCCAAACTGGCGGCCCGCTTGGCAGCCGCCACTCCCATCTTCCCTCCTGCCGCTGCCAGGCTGGGCGCCATGGCGACGGCACCCTGGGGTTGCCACGAGAACATGAACATGAACCACCCAGCAGCCATGTTTTGGGGCCGGCCCAAACCCGTTGCAACGGCGCCGACGCATCATCACCACCACCATCCCTCAGCGACGCCGGGGCACATGACCTCCTCCTCACACCCCCACAGCAGCAGCAGCGTGCATCAGAGTGGTGGTGGGTCCGGAGGGGGAGGAGGTGGTGGGGACAGCGAGGGGGGAGGAGCTGAAAAACATGGACACACTGCATCACTTCCTGTTACGCAAGGAACTGCACCCCATCACCCCATGGCGCCCAGCAACGGGAACTTCCTCCCAGGTTACAGTGGCGGTGCGGAATGTGGCGTCATGAACAAGCAGGGACACGCCCACGCAGACATGATGGGCCTATCAGAGGGAGGCAGCTGTAATGGGGGAGGGGTGATGGGTGGTGGCTTCCTGGGGGGGCTTGGATTACCCCCTGGGGTCATCGTCATGGCGATGGGGTCCACAGGAGGCGGAATCTCAGACGCTAGCAGCGCCTTTCAGATGACAGGCGGCCAGAGGGCACTAACGGACTGCCAGCAGCACGCTAACTCCTCCCCCTGCCCCTCCTCTTCCTCACCTTCGTCGTCTGGGGTAACAACGGGCGGTGTCTCCCTGTCATCATCCTCATCTTCATCGTCGGGGGCGGTGGCGAAGAGGAAGAGGAAGCGGTGCGGCGTGTGCGGGCCGTGCAGGCGGCTGATCAACTGCGGCGTCTGCTCGTCCTGCCGCAACAGGAAGACGGGTCACCAGATCTGCAAGTTCAGGAAGTGTGAGGAGCTGAAGAAGAAGCCGGGGGGAGGAGGGGGGGTGCTGGAGGTGAGCGTGCACGCACACACACACGCACACACACACACACACACACAAGCTCAATACAATGTGTTGACTTCTTATAATTTCTATCCATAATTTCAGCAGTTTAACAAAGACTCTTATTTTAGACCTAAATCTAACCATTCATCCAACTATCCATTCATCCAACCATCCATCCATCAAAACATCCATCCATCATCTATCCATCCGTCCATCCATCCATCCACTCATCTAACTATTGAGCTATATAACCATCCATCCATCGATCCATCTAAACATCAATCCATCCATCCATCTAACCATCCATCCATCCAACCAGTCACTCATCTAACCATCCCT